TATAATCGTTATAAAATAAATACAAAAAAAATATTTGAACCTAAAAATACACACAATCTCAATAACTTTCTTTTTCTTCATAAACCTTTCTCCTCCTACTTTCCGGTTGTCGCCTCCGGCTGTCATTCTTGAAATTATCACTGCCGCTGCATTGAAAGTTTTTTAGATAAAAGACCAACCAAGAAGATAAAATAAAAGTGCACAGTCTGTTCAAAATATCGATGAGGGTCTCCTTTCTCAAACGAAGTTCAAGAATTAAGTTAAAATTTTTGTATTTGAAAATATCGATATTTTAGTTTTTTGCTTTCGAATTTGTAATATACTCGAATTTTTGTCTTGTGTCTTTAGTTGGTTTGTATAAGTTTATGTGCCAATCGACTTACTTCAACATCGAAAACCACCATTGTTTCAAATATAGGTTATTTTGATGTGTTTTAAATTATAAATAACATCATTGTATATAGAAGTATCTTCATTTTTATCTTGCTAAGTTTAATTTTATAGTAAAATAGTTGCGATATGAGGTGGGTAGAGTTCGATTTTTTTAATTTTTTTTTCAAATACTGTTGGTGCCAATTTGTTATGTGAAGTGTCTTTTTAAGTACTTGAGGTGTTTGTTGACATATGTATCATATTGTTAGTTGTTTATGTATCTATTTTTTTATTTATGAAAATTCTGTTTGTTTTAACTATTGTGTGTTAATACCTCCAAATACTTTTGGTTACAACAAATTGTATAATGTGTGCTCTTATTTTCAATTGGCGTTCCTCTATAAGAAAGTTATATACCTATATATCTATGTCATAAACTTAAATTGGTGTTGTATATACTTTTGTAGAATTATGTCTTTATTTTAAATATTGTCAGGCCCAATATGAGAGACATGATTATGGGTCACTAGTGTGTATGTTCCCTGAAAGTTACATTTTATGCAACACGAAAACCTACATGCTTAGTAGATGAGCTACCAAATTCAATGATGCCAAAATATGTCGAGCAAAAATTATTGTGAATATTTTATCAAGAGACCTTAGAGAGGTTGTCTACTATCATTTATCGGATTTGTATGTTAATTTTTATGCATGAATTGGGAACAAATTGAGGTTTAAAGCATATAGTAGTCAAATTTGGGTAGTTAGTCATTAATGTTATGTTTTGTAAAAAACTTTAAGAATTATCATAATTTCTAATTTAACATATGACATATTTGGTTCTCTATAAGTATGAATCTTGGTATTGGAGGTACGTAAACACAAAATTATGACATATACTTTGGTGCACAAAATTTTATGATTGAGTATGGAGAAACTCCGAAATTTGAACAACATACCCCCAATGTATATATAAGTTACTCATTTAACTAACTTATTATTTCTGACACGAATGCATGTACTTCTATTAAAGAATAAGCTTTATCAATAACTACATAGATATTCGACATGTAATGAAAAGATGTATACTCACTATACTGTCCTAAAAGCATCGATGAACACGTTCAATGTACACCTCAATTAAAAAAAAATACTTACTTATAGTGTGGATAGTCCTAATATATCTTATGTATAATCATTACTTCTTATACGTTCTAACACATTTGTTCGTTATGGATGTTTTTCGGAGTCTACAAAATGCTGATATGGACAAATCTCTTACTATGATCCATAATATCATATGTTAGGTCAAATATCATATGTTAGGTCAAATCTACCGTATATGACATTATCATCCACCCTTGAATACATAAACAAATAATCTCAATGATCGTTTCTATAGTATTAGTTGATAGACACCAATATTCGATGAAATTGCAATAATATATTCAAACTATAACCGTCTAAACTAGCCACAATCATGACTAGGTGTCGAGAGACCTCTAAGTAGAAGCCACATACCCTCAATTATGATATTTATTCCTCTATTTCACTAAGTTACATACTTCTAAATTGATTAAATGTACTCATATTGAAGAATAGGCTTTAGAAGTAATTTTTACATATTCGATGTATATTGAGAAGATTTGTACTCACCAAATATTCTGAAAGCACTAATGGATACATTTCATATACACATCAATGACTAATATGTTCACCATAGGATGAGAGGGTCCAATATATCCCATGCGTAACATTTACTTATTATATATTATAACACATTTCTCCTTGTTGGGAGTTTCTTCCTACTTTAAAATATGGTTGTACGGACAATCACAATACAAAGGACATTATGCATAATCAGTTATGCACTAACTTCAAAATATCTATTACTATGGTTTACCACATGATATGTTATATCATATCTATCTTAAGTGATATTTTCATCCACCCTTGAATACATGAATAGGTGATCTCATAAGTTCTTTTAGAAAAATCCGTTAATGCACGCTAACTTCCGAGAAAATGGGTATGATGTAATCAACTAGAAATTGTTTGATACAGTAACAATCAATGACAAATTATGGATTATTACTTAAATGCTCATATTTACATTAATTATACTTGTATACGAATATGAATTCTTTCATACAAAAATAACGCAACCTCTTACTTGGATATGTATACCTCTAGTATTAATGAGTATATTATCTGAACGTTACAATATATTCATATTGTAATTGTAATAACTCCATCGCAAAAATTAAATACATGTATAAATAAATGTGATTTATGTTAATGTGATTTTAGATAAACGCTGGGGGTACACAATATGTCATGTTATACTGTAAAGAGTACTTAGGAGATATAAAAGACCTCAAGTATTACTAGAATTTAATAAAAAAATATCATGTGCAATGTACTATCGTTGTTAATACTGATTACTCATGGTCATATTTATATAACTACAATGACTTGTAACGTACTTTCATTGTGAATTTACATTCTTTTGTTTCTATTTTAAAATAATTAGTTTGGAATGATACGTACCCCTAACATAATAGTTCTGTACGCCTAACAATATACAAGGGAATATAATTTAATTTACAAATCATTCAATAATGGTTTCGTACATATATTTACGTTCAACGTACAATATTTCAAAAATAAAACAAAATTCTAGCAACAAGATGACAAACCAAAAATATCTACGCTTTGTCGATTGTGTCTTAGACGACCACAACGACCATATATTTTTAAACTGTTTCACATGATGTGATTGAAACTACATCTTTTTTTTGCCGTTCTGGTTAAAAAAAAAAAAAGCAATAACTTTGCTGAGTGCATCCAACACTAGGGCTGCGATTGTACAATAAGGTTTTGGCAAATAACATGGCCTTTGCAACATACATTATATGTTGCTCAAAATTATTCCATAAGAGAGCATAACCAGCTTTGTTGGAAACGACGTCTATCATTTATTGTTGTACATCAGATATCTTGACAGTACTTATATGAAATATAATCACCTTGTTTTACACATCATAATTAATGACATATATATTCTACACATACCTGGGTATGAAAGTTGTCCACTAGGTATCAAAGACAATATTCATGGTAGACTCCAAGAAACATAGCGTGAATGAACTTTAAAAATCCCAAGTGTCTATTAAAAAAACAAAAAGTGTATTCTTTCCAATTTTATTGACTATCAACATAAAGAACACACCTTAACCTCTAGTAAAATTATTCCCAAAATTTTAATATTTTCTACATACACTGTTGGAAAACAAGATTTTAATATTATCCAATATATATGCAACATGAAATTAATATCAATGTTCATAGATCAATAATCGTAGTATATATCAACAAAAATCAGGGTATTTTCAAACAAATACAACATACAATATCAGAGAATATGGGTATATTATTAATAAATACAGGTATATTACACCAGAAAAAGATTTTCCGTAAATATATGCACGCAAACTAGCCTGAAATCGCAACAACCCCCATAAAGTTTTTCATATGTGTACCATTCTATCGAAACATCTTATTGTTGGAAAACCTCACTATTTTGTCTATACCTAAAAAAGAATCTCAAAAAATCAAACAAAAACATCAATCAATCACAAAAATTTCTTTTCAAGAGTACAATTATTTATAATACAAATAATTGTGAAGATGATCAATCATACCTGATTTTCGATCTTCATCTTCAACAGAACGAGAGCAAAATCAGATTTGACAAAGATTAATGATCCTCTTTTGCGAACCCTAACAATACCACCGTAATCAACGCGTAAATTTATTGCACCAAAATAATATCGAAGTCTAGAATCGAACATTTGTCGTCTTATCTGTTTCTCTCTAGCGCTTAAGATTTAGATTCAAATAAAAAACTGAACACAAAAAAAATTGGAGAACAAAATTGATTTTGGTTTCAGACAAGGATAATATTGGAAAGAATGAAATGGCAAGAAGTTAGTAGCAAATATTTTTCATAAAGTGGGGAGTGCAGTGTTCATCAAATATGAGTGGAGATTGAACTTAAATCTATAGACGTAAATATTTAAATCCAATTGTCCTTTTTTGTAATAGGTATTTGATTAATTTTTGTTTTATAAAAATTATTTTGTATTGTTTAATATTAATTTTGGAAATCACAATTGAAAAATAAGTATTTGATAAACTAAACCAATATTCTTATTGCAAAACATGAAAGAATAAAACTTATTTTGTATTATTTAATGATAATGAATATTTAATTTTTTTATTTTAATTAAACTATTTAATTATTTTAATTTTAATATAAAATTATTAAATTATAATTATTTTATTAATATATTTTTTAATTACTAACTAATATTTCTTTCGTCCCAAATATTCTGCAACATTTTATTTTTGGTATGTTCCAAATTCTTGCCTACACTTTATTCCATCGTATTATTCAAATAAAAAAATAAAATATATAATTTTCGGATATCATATAATTTTTAAATTATCATATTTAATACTATTCATCTAAAAATATGTGCCAAAACAAATGTTGCACTTGACTGTGTGAATGACAAGCATATAACATAAAATATTTTAAAAAATATTAGAGTTGTAGTTACACGCCGAAACAGCCGCCGTGCCTCTGTACCTAGCGGTTTCCTTGTCATGGCGTTCTTCAAAATTTCCAAAGGCAAACTCTTTCTGTGCCGTCTCAAACCCTTTCTTGCTTTTGAGACGAACATTGGAATCCATTTTCAGGTATTTCTGTACAGGCATTAATCGACACCTGTGGTCTGGTCAGTTGTTGTTTAATCCCATTTAGTCTAGTTTTTTGGTGCTCAATTGGGTTTGTGTGATTTTTTTATTTTATTTTATTTTTTTGGAAGAGGTTCAGGTGTAACCATGCTGCACGCGCCCATCGAGCTTATTTCTCTTCTGATGCGGGTACTTGTACGTGCCCTGGTCATTCCTTTAACATCATTCTGAGAGTACCCTAGGCTTGCGATAAAGAAATTGTTTTGTTTAAATTTGAATAGTTATATAATAATTTTAGAAGTTGTTTTAGTTTATTTTCAAGTTTACGCTACAAGTTCAGATTCGAAGCAAATTTTCAATGCGTTTAAAGGGTGAAAATTTTCATCAATGTTTTAGGTGGAGCCGAATTTTCAAAATGGAGAAAGCTGGATTCGAGGAATCTGGGGATAACAAGGTCAATGATATCTGCTTCTAGTTGGATTGTTATAAAGAATCTACGAGCTGCAGGTGCTATTCTTTGACATGATCATAAACAAAACACAACCATATCTAGTTGCCATTCTTGTTTTGGAATTTGGGAATACATTCATATCTATCTATCTACAAATATGCGTTTGTATTATAAGGTCAAGCCCTTGAGCTTTAATCACACGGCCATCCTTGACTCATCATATTTCTCATATATAAAGTCTTGTATTATTAATAGGGTACTTATATTATTTGATTAGCATGTGAGGTAAGGAAACTACAATTGATTTATGAAGTAAAATTATCTTTGGAACTTTGATCAGATGCTACTACCCCTTTTAGTCTGGTATATAACACAACGAACTTTAATAAACTTTTCTCTCGGAGAATAGAGTTCTAAAACAGGTAGAATGGCGATCATTATGAAGTAATATATATGGTAAGCTTTTTGTATGTGCTTGTCTTATCACTTGATTCATATTATCTGTACTATGTCAAAGTTGTTATTGGCTGAATTGACTTCTCTTTCTACCACTCTGGAGTATCCTTCTATAGATGAAGACAAAAAAGGGAATACTTTCTTGTTGCATCCATAGCCAGCTGCCTAAAAACTACCATAGTTCTTCATCAATGAAATGTAAACTTGCACCATTTGATGGCAATAACCTGTACTGGATTTGAGAAAAAATAACGGTGTAGTGATGGACAGCTTTTATATATTCTGCTTGGTATATAATGACAAGTGGAGATCAGGAGGTTACTTGGGCACATGTTCATGATGGACTACACAATTATTATCCTTTTTTTTTTGCGAAGTTAGGGTGTGTTTGTTTTGTGTTTTTAGTTTGAGGTGTTTTTTTTTTATGTTAGATATGAGGTAGCGTGCAAGAATATAAAAAATAATATTTTGTGTTGAATTGTTGACTTTTTGGAACGGATAGAGTATATATATATATTATATTTTGTGTGAAAAGTATATATGTATTTCTTTATAATATTAATTGGAAAGCATGTCGAAAATTATTTGTTGGAATAACACACCCTTAGTTTATGATTGCAACTCATTTCATAATTGTGCCATCACTCGGGCTTAATTCATTCAGTTACACCAATTCCGCCAATCAGTATCAAATGATATGGAGAATTTTGATGTGTATGAAATGATATTGGGATTTTTGATGTGAGATATCTTTGTATATACAATGGAATCACCAATTGTATGATATTCTAACCTTATGTTGTCACACTTCGAATTGTGATACATGGTTATGCGGAGATGAGCTGGTGCGCACACATACACATTTGTATCCAAGTGCATCTTGGGTGGGTGTTTGGCTTATAAAATCTCTGTATTTAATCTGAACCCGGTGGGTGTTTTAATTATTAAAAGTTTTGGGCTGGGTGTTGGGTTTCTAATTAAAAAACTCTAAAATCATATTAGGTACTTGATTCTATTTAATTTAAATATGAAACTATATAGTATAATTGATATTAAACAAAAAGATAATTTAATCTTAATGTGTTTATTAATATATATCTGTAATATTCTAGTATCTGGATTTTTGATCACTTGATTAGTATATTTAGAGTATTGGGTCTAGTACCCAAACCCGATCCAAACTTCTCAAACCCTGAATTATCTGACCTGCTCCAACCCTTAACTGCATATCCTCGCAAACATTGGCTGCTTTTTTTTATTGAAGCTTAAATGTGCAGGGTTTGCGGCCTATCTAGTTGGTGGATGTGTTAGAGACTTACTAATCAATAGAGTGCCGAAAGACTTTGATGTGATAACAACAGCAAGTCTTAAGCAGGTCTCTCTGAAGTTATAAACATAGCTAAACTTATGGAATTGTAGTATAATTGATTACATATGATGTAGGTGAAGAGAAAGTTTCAGCGTGCAATAATTGTTGGACGAAACTATCCAGTATGCAGGGTATCTGTAAAAGGTTCTATAGTGGAGGTTAGAGCATGTTCATTTAGCTATTATGCTCCAATCAATATTGTTGTTTTGGGAATTTACTTGTGACTTAGCCAACAACATTTTCACTCTGATAAATTTGTTCAAGCATTTCTTGTAACTTTCAGGTAACTAGTTTTTCTACTGCTACTGCTACTGAACAATTTGGAAGTAAGGTACTTGACATCTTCCAAATGCCCAAATACAGTGATCGAGGGGACTATATTCGGTGGAAAGATAGCATGAGGAGAGACTTTACGGTTAACAGGTTTGATCATTCGTTATGTAAAGGCAGATATTACATGTTTGTTTTTTTTTGTTATCCCCTTTATGAATAGCCTAACCGCAATTGATGCATTGAGTTTCATCAATTCCTGCTTTCTATCTGCTCTTGTGCTATGGATTTAATAAAGTAGTTTTGAGTTTCATCAATTCCTGCTTTCTATCTGCTCCCGTGGTGGTTCTTACTGATAGCTAATACTAGCTGGCCCAAGCTTGTGAAAGCTTAACTGTCGGTGTTATCTTCCACCAATTCAATCCTGGAGCTAACTGAGCATTTGGTGGTCTCATCTTGTTACTTTTTAGCTAAAAATGGGAGATTTCATGAAGGTTTTACTAAAAAAGCAAATGGTGTGTTGAATGTTTGCTTTATACCAATTGCCAACCAAAAAGTCCTCATTAAAATTAACATTGTTGCTCTATTACCTTGTAAAGTTTGCCCTAAATTTTAGGATTCATATGAGTATTTGTGAAGCACTTCCACTAGAGATTCAAATCAAATGAGGGTGTTTGGTTGTGGGATTCCCACAAGGACTTTACTCTTCATTTATATATATATATTTTAAAACATCCAATCAAACACATTATTTTATTTATTTTTTATATTATGCTAAAAAAAAATTAATGTTTATATTAAAAACATTACATCAATATCTATTTATATCACATTAAAACTATTCCAATTAAAATTTTTACTATTACCTATCCCAAACCCAATTCTCAAACCCACAACCAAGCACACTTACATGGCTTTCAAGCCTATGAGATTCCCTCTCCCTGAAGATTGAGGGAGTGTCCCTATATGTGAATTGCACATGGAAATAACAATAATATATGTGATATAGATTCTTCATGTCAACAGATAAGGACATTGTAGATATGCTACCAAAGATCCTTGAAATGTCAAGACTTCCTTGACTGGGAAGATCACTGTTGACAAGTTTTTGGGTGAAGTGTTTACAATACGTGGATGATATATTAATAGCCGGTGTAGACACGAGAGAAATCAGTAAGTTAAACATATGTTTAAGGCATTTGAGATGAAAGACTTGGGTCCAACCAAACAAATATTTATCCGAGTATAATAAAAAACAAGGATGGCTCTCTAACGCTATCTCAGGAGAACTATATCGGGAAAGTGTCAAGAAGTTCAACGTGAATAGTGAGAAGACTAAGGTGAGAAATACACCTTTGGGAAGTCACTTCAAACTTACTAAAGATCAGTATCCGAGAGAACAGACAAAGAAAAGACATATATGGCTAAAGTCCCTTATGCATCTATAGTTGGCAGCATCATGTATGCGATGGTGTGCACGAGACCAGACATTGCTCATGCAATCGGGATTGTTAGTCGCTACATATTAAATCCGGGGAGAGAACACAGGGAAACCATCAAGTGGATACTAAGGTATTTGAAGAGTACTTCCAAGATGAAGTTATGTTTTAAAGACAAAATGTAATTCTCAACGGGTATTCGGATGCTGATTTGGGTGGATGCAAAGAGACGCTTAAGAGCATTGCAAGGTACATTTTCACAGTGGGAGAACTGTAGTTAGCTGGATGTCTAAACTTCAGAAAATTGTGGCACTTTTGACGATAGAAGCTGAGTATATGGCAGTTGCTGAAGCTAGCAAAAAGTTAGTTTGTTTAAAGAACTTTATCCTGGAGTTGGATAAAATGCAAACAGATTATTCATTACATTATGACAATGATAGTGCAGTCAAACTTGCAAGAATCCGGTCTATCATGGGAAAATGAAGCATATTGGGATGAGATATCACTTTATCAGAGGAACGATGAAGTTAAAGAACATCTATGCTGGACAAGCTGAAGTTATGCATGTTTGTCTTCATGAAAAATGATGAGAAAACCGGGGCAATCAAGTGAAGTTCAGGATTTTACGGCAATACAGTGGAGCACAGATGTTTCGAAGCGTCCAAGTGAGAGGTTGTTAAGTGTAGGCTTCTTTAAAGGTAGTTAACCCTAATGGGCTTATTGGAGTTCGGGACCAATTCTGATTAACCCTAAACCTGGTCTATAAATACTATCTCTTGTACTTGTAATATGGTCGAGAAACAATTACAAGGAGTAGAATTGCATATAAAGGGGTTTCAATTATTATAAAAAGAGGATTACATTATATTTACAAACTTTATTTGTCTTGACATGATTTTTTTTTAAAACAATCACTTATTCAAATAAGAAAACATACTAAAGGAGTGCAGAAATTAATAATTTAAAAATGCATTGTATCATTTAAACAAACATAAGTAAATAAAGTACAACAAGAAAAATTAAAACAAATGAAGTACTACATGCAAAATCAAACGAAACAAAAGTATTTCAACATCTTAAACATGCAAGGTAAACATAAAAAGGAAATAACCACCCGGGAAATTATTCTCAAATGCTTTTATTATGTTAATTTTTCGTCTTGATTCCAAGTAAGAAATGCTTGTGCATGCAACACATCCTTGCCAATCACATAAACTGCTTTAAAACCTTGTATAATACCAATACCCGATAAAACTCTTATCTCTTCACCAACCTTCTCATACATCTTACGAGCCTCCATATTTTTTTTGATATTGGTATTCAAATTCACCCACAATCTCTTCAAAATTAACTAAGACCTTCATCTCTTTGCATGGTTCTCGATATATTTTATATACATTCATGCTTTTATGTCTTTTATGTTTGCTTGTGACATTATTTGTTGGTCCTTCGGATCAACAAACATCTTGATTGGACATTTCGATGAAATCAAGTCATCAATATCAATCAGGGATAGATGTAAATCTCATTTCATTGACGGAGTGGCAAATTGGACAATAAATGGTTGGACAACCTTGGAACCATAGCATTTTATAACTGTAAATCTTTTCTTTAATGAAGTTTAGTATTTTGTTGAATAATGTATTTTTATGTATAGATGATAAGATGGAGAGAAAAAATAAATCGCAATAGATGTGTGACTAATATGGTTGGCATAAGTGCATTTTATGCCATTTATGTTGTGATTCGTTGGTAGATGTCTATTTTTTACTTGTGTTGTTATATGGGACATGCACACATACAACATTCAAAACTATTTAGAAATATCGACTTATATATTCCTCCCCAAATTGATGAAATCTATGGACTAGTATCATATTCTTTGCATTATGAGCAAAGGTATGTAAAAACATAGCAAACTGCTCGTCGACTAACATTTATGTAAAAACATGGCAAGCTGTTTTTCGACCAAGATGTTCTTACTATTCTTTAATCCCGTTCAACCTTATAGCTTATGACATTGTTGAAGACGCATGCATATTCATTGCTATGCATATCACACTCGTAACATCACTTTCATAAGCCATCCTTCATCATGTTTTCACGCGTAATATGGTAAATCATTAAATAATTTCTACGCAATGTTTTTTTATTCAATCAAAAAGCGGAAATAGAAAGTAGACATTATCCACTAATGAATCACAATATACATGGCATAACATGCACTTGAGGCAACCATATTAGTCATTCGTCTATGGCTATTTTTTTTTTTTCTCTTAACGGTGATCTTGTTATCTATAGATAAAAATACATTATTCCATAAAATTGTCAATTTCATTAAGAATAAGATTTACAATAAAATGCTTGGATTAAAGCTTGTCCAATCATTTACTGCCCCTTTGCCACATTAACTCATTTACCATCTTTATCTATATGATTTTTAGTGTATTTGATACATGGAAATGAAATGAGATTTACATATCTATCCCCAATTGATTTTGATGACTTTAATTTCATTTTGAAAGGCTAATCAAGGTGTTTGTCAATACGAAAGACCAACAAGTAGTGTTACAAGTGAACGTAAAAGAATGGATGAATGTGTGATACATAGAATTATGCAACGAGATGAAGGTCTTTGTTAAATTTTAAGAGATTGTGAGTGAATCTTTGAATGTGAATATCAAAGAAACATTGAGACTTGTAAGATATATGAAAAGGTGAAGAGATAAGAGCTTTACTAGTATTGATCTCATAAAACATTTTATAGCAACTAATGTGATTGGCAAAGATGTGTTGTGCACGAGCATATCTTCATTTGTATCAAGAAATCAAGAAGACAGAGTTTACATAATAAAAGTATTTGTGGATGGTTCATTTTATTCTGCTTGTTTAAGATAATGAAGTACTTTGTTTCATTGGATTTTGCATGCAGCGCTTAATTCGGTTTAATTGTTCTTGTAATACTTTATTTACATGTTTTTATTGGATTAATATATGCATTTTTTAATTATTAATTAGTGCATATTTTTATTTTTTATTTTTTTCACTTGAATAAATGTTTGTTATAAAATAATCATGGTTGAGAGATACAGTTTGTAGATATAATTTAACACTCTAATTATACCAACAAAATAATTGATTCTTTGTTACATATTTCTGCCGAATTCGTTGTTTTACCAACAAAATAATCAATTTTTATTTTTTGTTGAATTCTTTTTCTTTGCATTTTTATTTTTTTCTATTATTTCTCTACAATTCTATTTTCTGTACTAAATGCATCATAATATCCAAGCCTAAAGCATGTTGTTCCAATGCCCAAACTCTTGGGTAAAACGGAAGTTAAAGTAGGCAATGCATTATATGGCAGCAAACGGCTTTAAGAGGGAGACAAATAGATGACAACGGTCGCCCCAATATCTTACTTTGCAATCATGTCCTCTCCAACAACCGAAGCTTGACACTTGAGAGCGAAGCTAGGATCTACTAATGAAAGCCCAAGTACTAGGAAATTGACAACTAGGAGATTTGAGGTGTAATACCCCGTAAAATAATCGCCGGAAGTTTGTCGGAATCGGATAAATTTTATTTTGGGCATAATTTATTTTGGTCTTTTAGTGTAATAAATTAAAGAGTTGAGTTTAAATTAGAAGTAAAAATTGAGTTTGGGCCAAAGTAGGATAAAATAATTAATAAAGGGCTAAGTATTTTATGTTTAATAAAAGAATAAAATAAAATTAAAAAAGAAAAAAGAAAAGGAACAGCAGCAGCAGCCATCACGCACGACGCCGCCGCCGCCGCCGCCGCCAGCCCTTCTTCTTCTTGGAGTTCTTCTTCTCTAAAATTCTTCCTTTTGGTCTATTCTCTTGAAGTAAGTGGGATTAATCTTAGTTAGATTGATATGTTCTAATCCCTAGATCCCTTCTATTGATATTTTTTCAAAATTATTGTCAAATGGGTTTGCTCTAAAAGTGTTTAGGGTTTAGGGTTTATAATGTCATCTAAGGCTTATGGGAAGATTATTACAGTATTTTAAATTGAAAATTGTAGAATTTATGGGATGAGTTTGAAACCTTAGTTTTGCCCTAACCTAGTTGTGGTTTTTGGAAAAAAATTTACGGTTACATTTAAACATTATGATTTTTAGAATTAGACCATGCCTATTGTGATTGACATATTTTTTGAATGTTTATTTGGCGAAATAAAGTGAGATTATAACGAACTTGTTGGGTCTAATATCCTACTTTTGCATGGTTAAATGTTTGACAATTGGAATACTTTGAGTTTAAAATACTCCTTTTGAAATTTGCCTAAGAGCATGTTGAGTATTTGGTCAAATTGGTAAATGAAACTACCCGTCGAGTCCGATCAACTTGTCGATTGTTTGGATGATAAGGCATAGCCTTCCACCTCTGTGCCTGGCAAACATGTGAGGGTATACCGGTATTTTAGGATAACTAGCTAACCTTGAACTAGATCCCAAATGGGCTAGGTCAAGGGATCGAGATGGCGGGTTTCCTTTTTGGGTGATTCCGAGGTGCCCGTCATTCACAATGAAAAGGTCTTTAGACCGTCATCCGTGGTGGAGGGATGGATTGCGTACAATCCCCTCTTGGTATGTTATATTGGAGACTAGAGGGTTGTGGGCCCTATGGCGCCCCTCACAAACTAATAATAAATTGATTTACGTGTACTTTGGATTTCGAACCCTTATATACACATTGTGGAGTTTTTCTTGAGGGTTGTGACCCTATGTTTGTCATACGAAGTAATAAGGTTGAAAAATCGGGTCGAGCCGGCCCTGATTAAGGCCTAATGGAGTTTTCTTCGTGATGTGCTCATCGCTATTATTTGAGAATGAAAAAGAGATATAAGGGAGGCGCTAAAAGACTCGTGTGTGTGAGTTCCTCTTATGTGATACGTGTCATCTTATTCAATTATCTTTTTCAAATGATTTTGTGGCATTATACCGTATTAATTTATCTTCGATTAATTACGCTTACTCAATCGTTGTGTTGACTTTCTTCTTACGATCTTTTGTAGGTGATCATGCTTCCGTTATGCCTAAATGATGCATTCACGTCATATGATCCATCGAAGGGAATTAGAACTACTTTACCTTCTAAAATGTTTTGATATTCATTGATTATGTTTAAAGACTAATGCCTTTTGAACTATTTCCAATTTATGTTTTTTTATTCGAACTTCATTTATTTAAATGATAAACCGGTGCATTTTAATTCTAAATCCCTATTAGTTGTTGGTATTTATTATTTAAGCTTTAGCGTCACAACGTAGGACTCGTTAGTTGATGAACGAGCCTTCCGGTGTGGCGGGGCGGTGACGCTCCGGTTTGAGCCGGCCGGAGTGTTACAGGAGGGCCAAATAACTGTACGGTCAATATCATATTTGCCACATATTACCCTGTATATTTGGAAAAGTCATTTGTTTATCGAGAAATATCTATATCATAATCTTTATAAATCATAAGCAATTAAATATATCATAATATCCCATTTTAAAAGTCATGGTAGATTTCTAGAGACTAGCTCAAGTTTGCATTATAGATTGAAAAACCGATCATGAAGGTGCTACGAGATGAAGATACCAGAAATTTTAGAAAGTTTTGAGATAGAACCCTTCACGAGGTCAGGGTCAAGGTATTATCAAGCGTACGATCTTCTAATGGATCAAAGCATCAGTATTAGATACAATACCCTCTAAAAGGTCAAGAAATAATCTTACTTAGAGATGGTTGCAATGGAGCTTGGGAGCTTGTTTACTCCGGGTTTGTTTGTTTGGGGGTTTGAATTTTTGGTTGGGATTCGATAGTAAAAATTTTGAATTAGAATAGTTATATGATACTATGATGTGATATAAATAAGTGTTGATGTGATGTTTTGAATGTAAAATTGATTTTTAGTATAATATAGAAAATAAAAAAAAAGAGATGTTTGATTTGATGTTTTTGGGGGAAAATTTTTCTATGAATAGTAGAAATTTGGGGAAATTTGATAAAAGAACACTGCCCAATTGGTTTTTCTTAGTTTATCTTCATAAGAAGATGCCTTAAGTATTACCTCTTCTAAGACAAGCAAGCTGAGACACATTGATAGAACCAGTGACTTATAATCTTGTTGGAAGTATGTGCATCTCTATAATAGTGAATGGAACTAATTTGAGCAATTGACGCGATATTACATGTCATTATGAAAGAATAATTTATTGTGGTATATGTTATTGATATTTTCAAGTTCTTAAATTGCCTGCTGATTGAATATATTTGTAGCAGCTTGTATTTTGATCCGTTCGTGAATATTATATTTGACTATACAAATGGAGTGGGGGACTTGAGGTCTTTAAAGGTAAGTTATGTTACCTGTAATGTGCAGAGTGTTGTCTGCCTGATCTTATCATATTGTTAAAGTTGATAGTTTTTCGGTTCATACAGTTAAGGACTGTAATACCAGCTCAGTTGTCATTCAAAGAGGATAAAGGTTGTATATCCAACAATTCCATGAAAAATTGCAGCATTCTTCATCCCAGCTGTGATTCCTTATTGCAAGTAATTTAAGTTGTTCTAAGCATATTCTTCTTTCAGCAAGGATTTTACGTGGATTGAGACTTGCAGCCCGTCTTAAGTTATCGTTTTCCAAAGAGACAGAGACTGCTTTAGATGATCTTTCTTTGTCAATCACTGAACTAAGCAAGGTAATTCTAGGATCTCTGTAAGACATTTCGTAATTGTCGCAACAAACAGTTTGAGTTTCAGCTTACATTTCTGATTTTCTTCCATTATCGATTCATATAGTATCCCCAAAACAGCTTTCTCTAGTGTTCTCATTAAATGGTTCATTATTATGTACTATAATTCCTATGTAACCTTCAATAGTCCACTTTATGTTTGTAAACTGGGTTAATTCTTCTTCAGTCTAGAATACTTCTGGAGATGAACTATATGCTAGCATATGGAGCTTCTGAACCCTCACTTGTCTGGCTTGCAAGATTCAATCTGCTTAAAATTTTACTGCCGTTTCATGTAAGTTTATTTTATTCAAAGTTTACAGCCTTTGAACTAAGCATAATAAATGGAGTTTTTATATGATTTAGGCAGCGTACCTTTCTGAGCAGATGGACCATGGACTTAGCCTGCATTCCTTAATGTTAATGGTTAGCTTTCTAATCTGCTATCACATTTTTAACGAATTATTGTTTCTTCCCTTCTTTCTTGAACTCCTGCTTATTTTTCTCTATTTAATTCCTATTTTCCTCTGATTATTGTCTATTTTTTCTATCTCAGAAATTATTTTCAAATCTGGATCAGTTGATTGCTTGCGATCGACCTTGTAATGACAGTTTGTGGTGAGTGATTCTGTTCTGTTCTATATTTACAATAAAGCAGCCACAGGGTAAATATGTATTTACTATGCATTTGAATTTATCCATAATAATCCCAATGAGTGTACATGCTATATTTTATAATCAATCCACCTGCCCAGGAAAAGTTGAGAGAATTATGCAAGCTTTTTGGAAACCTGCAGGTAAACCAACCTATTCTAAATTCAACCTTACTGAGATTATCTTAACCTCCAAAGAAATTAAGCCTATAAGAATTGGGGAATAGCAGCCACAACCAATAAGGACCAATTGTTTGACATGTCGCCAATAATTAATTTGAGAATATTCACACGAGTTGGAGGTGAAAACTGCATAATCAAGAATTGGAAAAAAAGAAAAAAAGCGGCCAAAAATTCATATGAAACAAAGGACCTATTTAGAAAAAAGTGAGTCTAACTCTGATAGAGTTCTTTTAACTCAAACTTGGGTCTGAATGTATCTTTAACCTAAAAAGACTTTAATAAAGCACCTAAACACCATTTGAAGCTAGTAACAAGGATAAAGACTTAAAACAAAAAGATCTGATCCTTCACATGCTAATTTAAGAAATATTCTAATAGCTTAATTAGCTTGAATAATCTATTTTGTTTGCTTGGTGTTGTGATCCCAAGTTCACTTACATGACCTCCACCCTTGGAAGAGGACTATTCTAAATTCAACGATCTCAGTGCGTGCTATGCAGGCTGTTAAATTTTTAGAGAATTTCTGAATTGTTTATTAATTATGAAATTAAAGTCTATTTATATAGATCTGATACGAAAGGGATAAACTCAAATAATAACTACCAAATTTAATAGATATGCCTAAATAATAATAATAGATGTCTAAATAATAACTATCAAATTTAAATAATAATCAAAATATCTATCTAAAATATATTTGAAGTTGGTGCTATAGAAGCCAACTTGAGTTTGGCAAAAAAGAAACAAAAAATTGAAGGTGGAGTTGGAATATGGACGAACTTCATATCTTGACATAAATTTTTAGAGCATTCAAGTCATTCTCTGTGCCTTAAAAGATTAGGATTTTGGCCAAATTAAAGATTTAAGTGGTGGTAGCAATCCTCTGTCGCGGGAACGCACCGGAAATCTTCTGTTGCAATAATGGTTCTAAATTCTTAGAAATTAAAGTTTTGATCAAATTAGAATTTTTAATGACCACAATCCTCTTCTAAGAAACGAAAGCAACAATCCTTTGTCATTGTGAGGGCATCAATTAGGGTATTTTTTTTTTTAATGACGAGGTCATCTTTCGCAACGGTAGCACCGACGATCTTCTATCACTATGGCAGCGCTAAACCCTAACAATTAAACTTTAAAGGCAGTAACTCCGGACAAATAACTAAATATCAAACTAAACTTGATCAAAAATTGAAAACAACTTAACAAATAAGTTGGAAATATGCCCGGATGTTGTCACCGGAAAATTCTAACAATGGACACCGGGCGCACTTTCACATGTGTCCGGAGTCCGTGGCAACATAATTGTTTACCGTGTTGACTGGGGATTGATTAAATGTTGACCGACTCAATAACTCACATGCACAACTTTTCACAACATTTGGTGATAAATGTTGTCTTAAAATACGGTTGCGGTGGTAGTGTGGGTCAGATGCATCAGGAAAGTAACAAATAGATGCGATTAGAATAGGATATATATTTTTGAAGTGGCAATTTCCCGGAAACATTCATATGATCATATCTACATGAATGTACTCGGAAAAAACATCGCTCTTATACCATGTTACATTTTGAGAGCATTGCTAAGTTGTTTATTAATAATAAAAGTAAGGACTATTTATAAAATGATATAAAAAAGATGAATACAAATAATAACAACCATATTTAGTAAATATGCCTAAATAATACTTATCAAATTTAAATAATATTAACCAAATACAACACACATAATAATCTCATTCGTAATGGCATTTTGTGTTGCACTATAAATTTGGTCAACATGTGAAAAGTGTGTCAGTGATTCTCCACCATAGAGCACCCAAAGAAGACCTAGCCATCCTGAGGAATTTTTGTAATACAAGCATCTTCCTCAACAAGTTGCCCCCGTGAAATTATCTTCTTCGATTGTGGTAAAATCTAACACTGGATTGGCTTCTTGGGTAACCATACTAGTCAATGGACCAATTTCTTGCATCTCAACACAATCTTTGGCAAACATAGGTTTGTTGCACAATTATCTACTTGTATGCCCCTTTCTGTTATTGCCACTTAACTTTAACTCTTGCATGGTTTCCCCTCTTTACAAAACATCTTGTAGTTATCAACACTTGCCTTCTTATTAAACTCGGGCTCCTACTTCTTGTGTAGCGATGCCTCTTCATTAGTCTGTTGTGAAGTGTACAGCATGCTCGTTCTTAACAGCATGTCCTTACCACACCTTTCTTTTCTCATCTGTAAACACCAAAGCATTGTAGAAAACCCTAATCTTTTTTGTGCACCATGGTTTATAGGTCACTTTTCTTGCCACATTTTTTTCTCTGCTATATATTCTGCTATACTTTTCATTATATGAGTTCTCTATGGTTTTATTCCTTGCGAATTTTCTTCCTAGTAGTGGCTTATTGCTTACTATGATATTGAGAATTTTGGATATTCTAACATTGGTTAGTTGAGAAATCAAGCGTTTAGATGTGTTTGGCAAGTGTTCTGGTATTATGGTATTTTGGATTATTTTGGTAATCTTAAATTTTGAATGGAAAATAGGTGTTGGATGTGATGTTTTGAATACAAGATAGTATTTGATGTAATGTTTTAAATTAAAAATAGGTGTTGGATGAGATGTGTCTTTTTAAGGGAATTTTTTTTTATGAGTAGTGTGGAAACAGAGTTGCTTTAATTTATTTTAGGCTTGATTTGAATCACAAGTGGAATCCATTTTTCTTTAACTTTCGGTATTCAATTTGTGACTGTTGAAGAACTCCTTCATTATGTTTGTGAATAATACTGTGAGCTAGCCCTTTCGATCTTCCATCACATTTGTTGGTCCAATGGCAAAAAATTATGTTGTAAGTTGTAACCTTACTATCTTACTCATTCCTCTTCATTTATGATGATGTAATATTGATGGCTTATTGAACACACTAGCATGCTAATGTGGGAACCAAGCTGGATACGGCGTGGTGCATGTTATATGCTTACATAGACTAATGGATAAGTAAATAACACAGTTCACGCTATTAGTATTCTTCAAAACATGCTTAATACAATCACTTCTACAAAATACTAATAATAATAATAACAATAAATAAATAAATAAATAACGCATACTATTGAATGCATAAGTAATCTTAAATATTGATTGAAGAAAACCAAAAAAAAGATTTATGTACAAAATATTTTAAACAAAAAACCCATGCATTTCATAATTACTTTTCAAAATATTATAATAGCTATGAAATTTACGAAATTATGACCAACATCCCATTTTCGTTTTTTTAATTTATGAGCATTTGAGATCTATGGAAGTATTTGAGATTGACTATTGATTGATTGTTTCAATGTGCAGAAATAACCTCCAAATATCTTTGTTCATTAAAATTGATGAGATGTGAACAAGTTGTTTTTTACTGCATTGGAAAATTGCTTGTGCACAGTGTCACTGAAATTTGAATTTGGCTAAAATGGAAGTGGTAACTTTCTAGCTCATTCCATTTGTGATATCTCCTATATTGGCTTATGTAATAAAGGGATTATGTATTGTAATAGTGCTGCTGAGTGCTGACTATGATCAATACTACTACCTGCAGAACAAGGAAATAATATCTATGGTCACCATATCCCCACAATCACCATTTCTCCCCCACAAACTTAATGCCTGAAGTTAATGAACCTTTTGGAAAAAGTTCATGAATGGAAAACATATCATCAAGCCAAAGCTGAAAATGATGTCAGTCCAGTGTACAATGAGTTTTATTTAAATTTTTTTATATTTTTATCTCTTGTAATGGTATCAATTTGCATTTGATATAAAGGAATAGGATAACTCCTGTTCCATGTTGGCAACTTAAATTATATTTATTCTTAGATATCCATATGATAAGAGCAAATCTCCTTAGTTGATGATATAAATAGGTGTATAAAATATAATCAACATTTAAAAATTTAATCTGGGTCTGTCATATAATACTTATTGGTTACGTATTCAAAATTTAATCTGGGACTGTCATATAGTAATGCACATGAAACAAATCTAATGGTCTACTTATGCTATTTCCTTCGTGCTTATTAATTTATTTTTTTAGTCATATTCTTATAATATCAACATGAATGTGGCACTTAGTAATTGAAATTCATTGGTAGCTGCTAGCCTCACTTATTCTGTTTTTGAGATCATTTGCATAAAGTATGACCATTCTTTTATGTATGTTACAGGGTTGCACTATTGGTATTTCACCTTGCACTGTTTCGAAATCCTCAACCTGCTATTGTGATTTTGACCTTTGCATCACTTCTTCATAATGGAACATGGGAGGACAGTATCAAATTTTCAAGGGAAAATGAACCGACAGTGCAAACACATACGCCTGAGATTTCTGGTAATTTTAACAACCTATCAGATGATGAAATAGCTAAAAGTGTAATTCAGTTTGCTAGGCAAGTGGAAAACTCTGTAGATGTTCTCGTGAATATGGATTCCCTCTCAGAAGCAATGACCAGATTCCCTGAATTTTCGCACTCCGGTTTGGTAAGTATGGCTGTTTCGATTACATGTTCATCACGGTACCACAATCAAATATTGGTCCCAGAAGAGTCTCATGTGCATGTAGACATAGATTATATAGTTAATAAGTAGCAAAACATATGAATCTGAAATATACCTTACTAAGAAAGACCTCAATCATATAGTGAATCACTGAAACAAATTGACACACTAAAATAGCGGATATCGTGATATGCCATTAGCTTAAGAAATGTTTTCTTCTATACCATCTGTTAGCTAGAAATCAAATTTGGTAGCCAATGATCGCCAGCCCCAACTCAGTGATCTTAATAAATTACGATTTCAGTGCCTCTGCCACAGTGTCCACATTAAATCATGCAACCTAGAAATTGTATTAGTGCCCATAACTCATCTAAGATCACAATGTAATAACAGCTGATGTTAGTTCATGTCATTAGATCAAGCAGTCTAAGCACCTAGAGGATATCACTATTGGATTTAACCAGTATTATTGCAAGCTTCCTCAGTCACTTCTGCCAAAGTGAGAGTATCCATGGGTTTTGGAAGATAACACTATCACGAATAATCGCGAATCTTACAGTCATTGTCGCTCATTATATGTATATAAAATAAATTAAGTATGTTAATTGAACATATGATGAAACATTCAATTCAATTATCCACATGAAGTGGCCAATCAAGGACTAGTCCTTTTGTGATGTTTCTAGTGAGAATGTTTGATTGATCATGAATAATAAAGAAAGAATCATGAAATGAAGATATGGTCGGAAAATCAATATTTGGACACCAATTCCTGGTATGATCTTGGACAGGATAGCAATCCACTAATCATAAAAATTTTATTAGTAGCATATAATGATGTCCATTATTTTTAATGTGTGAATTGTTTCAGTAATTCAATATATATTAGGTTTTTCTTAGTAAGGTATATTTCAGATTCGTATGTTTGGCTACTTATATCTGTATCTACCTTACAAAATGTAATGGTTCCAATTAACTGTAAGTTTAATGTCTTAAAACAGCTTATTTGTTGATGACAAGTGAGTTTGTATGATTAAGTTAAATAATCAAAATTATCTATTGATTTATGTATATTAAAAGCCTGAACCTACTATAACTAGGAGGATTCAAACTTATATTTTCCCAGCTTTTAGCTACATAATAAATTTATGCCAGAATTTTACTGCTGCATTTGGGTGTTATATTGTGCAGTGGTTTACAATTTTTATCATGGTAAACATTGAGCTTTTCATCTGTGCATACTATTAAAAACGTATATTTGAATCTGGGCTGTGTTCACTTACAAGAGCCAAGTGACCATAACACATGGCTTTCTGGCATCTTAGTATGTTTATATGGTTTTCATCATACATGATAATATTACTTGAACAAAAATGAAAGAAAAAAAAAAAAAAAGATTTGTTGGCATTATGTCTAAGCAAATCCAATCTTTGACAAAGCATCTAATTTAAAAAATAAAAAGAGTGAGGTGAGAAGTAAATTAGATATGGACGTATGCTTGTGTCTTGGACTCTTGGCTATATTTTATTGTCTTTCTTCCCATATAAATTGTTTGTACAGCTTTTGTGAGTAAAATGATAAATATCACTTCACCTGGAAGCTGGAGAGAATTAGAACTTGCTACTCTAATTTGACAATATATGACTACAATTTTGGTTGTGTTTTTCCATGCTACTTGCCCAAAAGTATCTGAAAAAATAAGAAGAAGGTTTTGTGTTGTTTGGTGGAAGGTTCACTCTTTTTCGAAATCATAGTTACATATATTTATACAAATCCCAAACATTTCTATGATAATTGGGTTTATAGTGAAGATATCTTGCATATAATACTAAACTGCTTCATGTTGACCAAATTTGGAGATTCCTAATTGGGCATAATCTCTGTATCAGGTTTTTGTACCTCCAAAGATGGGCAGCCGTACGAAGTATATATTTAGCATCTTCGGAAAAGGTATCAGATCCTTAAAAGCTGACAAAAGATCTTATGAGATAGATTACAAGTTGCTGATCCAAGGAGAGGCCTCCGAAATCAGGTTTGTGCTCGGTAAGATAATATTAAGCAGTATGATTTTGGGGGCTAACTCAGACACCAGAGTGACTAAAGTGGGCAAAGAAGATGAACAAGTAATGAATCCATTCCGGAAGTTGGAGATTCTTGAATCCACCCATTATACCAATGGTACCTCCATGAGTGAGGATGTATTTACGCAAGTTAAGTTACCAATTATACATGACAACGCTCACAAGGATGTTCTGTCCTCTAATAGAAAACAAGGGGACGCAGATTCTGATTCACGCAGTCACCATTTGGGTCTGGATAAGATTGAGAAATCAAAATCCAAGACTGAGAGAGCTCACTCACTTTCTCGCCTTTTTATGTGAACAGTGATGAAAGAATGCTGGAGGATGTGACTTGCAACATCAGTGTTCAATTCTATGGGAGACACATTAAGTTACCATCCCACTTAGATGGGGTTTTTTTTGCAGAAAGGTCTTCAATGGCAATGAATTCATCATCAATTTTGTCCAGTTGAGTTTAAGGACAAAATAAAAGATGAAAAGCGAATGACAGTAGCTCAGAAGACGGGGAGATGAGAAAGATTATCTTTTAAACTGTTGCTTGGAAAGAGGATGATATAGATGGATGGCTGATGGGGGATCTAATTTGGTTGTGGGGAGTGTACTTAGTGTATGAACTACTTGAATAATTCAACTATTTTCCATGGCCTCGCCTTGCAAGTTTTTTTAGTTATCTGTTATTAAAATGTAGGGAATTGAAGTCGCAATTGTTTTTGTTTGGATGCAAAGCCCTCTTTGAAAATACTTGAGAGTTAGTATTCCGAAATTTTAAGGGTATTCCAGTTTCAAGCCAAAATTACTTTTTCCAAACGCGGTTAGAACATTGAAGATGATTCAGACTTTGAACATGTTTTACCAACTGTTTTCTGTTGTGATCATAAATGAATTTTGTATCTAAATTAACTAAAATACTTGGGAATAACCTCTATTTACTTTTTTTATTTGGTTATGTTTTTTATGGCTTAATTTTTTTATATTTTCTGGTCACGAAATTAGCCAAACAATCAATCGTATTTTTTTTTTAAAAAAAAGAATATAAAAAGTTAAAGAGAACTTTTTGTGACTCGTGAAGTACGAAATCTGTTAAGTTGCAATTGACATGATATATTTTTAATAAATTCTAGCTCGATTTACCCTTTAAAGATTGAATCTTGAAAATTAATGTTCTATATGAGACTAAAAAATTAATTTATCAAGGCATTTTGTAAAATAAAAAGTTTAAAATAAACAAAAATATTCTATGTGTTGCTGACATGACATCTATACGACGATGACATGTCAGCTGTATCAGCGTCACGTCGCGGACTACCGCAGTATCTGGGACTATTTTAGCGATTTTTTTTAATAATACAGATTTTAAAAAAAATAGTTTACCTTAATTATTATTTTTTAAAACTTTGCCAACACCTATAAATAGGAGTTGAAATGGATCATTTGTAATCATCATCATTCACTCGTTTAATTATTTTCATTTAGAAGCTTCATTTCTAAAGGCTCCAACTAGATTATTTGGGTGCCTGATATTGTGATAGGAATTGCAAGTAAAACTTTTCATGTATTCAATATTTAGATATAGTTGCATGTTTTGTTTTGTTTTTTGTTTTTGTTTTTTTTTTTTTTTTTTTTTATATTTAATGAGATTTATTAAATATTTGTATAAGATAACTATTTTGCCAAGTTCCTTGCGAGAGCCTCGATTAGTGCATGTATACATTGAATAAAGGAGTCTAATTAGACAGTGTAGAAATGATTGCCTGCTAGGTAGACTTAAAAGGTATTGGCGAAAACGGCCTTAGTGTCCAAGTCAACTTATAACATATAGCATACTGATAGGAGTGTTGAAGTTTGACTTGACACTCATCGGTTTAACATTAAAATAAATCCTCAATTGAGTATAAAAAATTTGACCATGCACCGTCCCGGTTAAGAAATTCTTAGATGATTGTTATGGAGGATATACAATGAATGACAGGAATTTCGGAGAAACTAAGAGAGAAGAAATTTAGCATTCTGTAGAAAAAAAAAATTCAAAGTTCACATCTCATAAATACTAGACTCTGATCGGGGTGCATTTGTTGTTGTGTTAGAAATATATAGAGATAAGATGTTAAAGTGATTTTGTTCAAATTTGGATTGGAAGGTAATGAATGATAGGAAAAAAAGTTAAGCATTTTCGGTGAAATATACATAACCACCACACAATATTAGATTATTAAGTCAGAGGTTGAGAGAAGAGCCAAGAGCATATGTGATTTGAAGCAATATTTTGGGCTACACCAATGATATCACTATAATCAATATATGATGTAATCAACATCACTCGTCTTTTACAAATTTTATATCAACTATCTCAAATGAGAAGCTCTATCCTTGAGTTGGCTCCAATAGCTCAATTTCCGTGGAAATACACTATTATTGTTGTTCATTTATCAAAGATAAAATAATGGCTAAGAGGAGAAAAATCGATGTTATATTTCACACACACACTGAGGGAAGATAGAGAAGGGGGTGAGGGGAGATCTTAACAATTTTGAGAGTGCAAAGGGGAAAAAATAATTAAAAAATAATGATAATACTTTTGTCAACGGATAAAGTTAATATAATAAAGTTTAGAAGACATGTATAATAAATTAAAAAATATAGAAGTATATATTTTATTATATGTAACACTCTATATTATAAATAATTTGTTTACACTCATGTATTGTAACAAAGTTAAAAATTGGTCAAACGGACCATTTTACCTTAGTGTCCAAAATAATTGTATATTTTAATATAGTAATAGTAATTATTTTAGAAATTGTATTGTTTACAAAATTGAAAGTTTCCAATTTCAGTAATACATGTGATTAGGTTTTTTATACTCGTTCACCACTCATACAACAATCTTCTGAGCGAGCATTTTCATTCTTAATCAATGATATCCATCATGGCTATGACATTCTATTTTGCTAAACAACAAATTGTTGACATGATAGAAAACAAAGTTTTTTTTTCAGTGAGTTAATTAAGAATCCATCTAGTATTATTTGCAAGAATGAGTGAGTTAAAAGGTACAATATTTTATTTGCAATTGAGAACTTGTGGTAACTGATTTTAGTGTTCGAATGTTGCAAGCCATGTGTTGGTTACGGAGTCTTGGAATTTTTAAATTTCTTTATCGCGACATGTTTTGTTGTTAGGGGCCCATATATTATGTTGGGTTTGTTTAAATTGACAATTTTAAATAAGTGTTTCCACTATAAATTTGCTCTTTATTGTCGTATATGTGTGGTTATCTCGAATCATAGTTGTAGGGTTAATTGAGTTTAATATTGTAGTTTTATTTATTTATCATTATTATTATTGTTATTATTATTATTATTATTATTCTTAAATTGTGGTGCGATATGCTTTTTAATTAACAATGAATTGAAAGTAGAAAGATGGAAGATTCTATCAATGTCTTGTAGGTAGACGCCTAAATAAATTGGTACTCATCTGCTAAATACATAGATGACCTAAAAATTTGTTTTAAAAATATTGATAGATATAAGTTTCATTATCGCATGTTAGTTAATTTATATGTAATAGTAGGTGTGGTAGGGACTAATTTAGAGTTTTATTATGTTCTTCCGATTCAAACGTTGGAGAGCAGATGTGTATTAGAATGAATGCTAACATTTCTGAAATTTTACGAACATATAAGAAAGAATTGTTCATACAATTTTTTGTAGGGGTGTTGAAAAAGAGATTATTAAGGGAGTTGTGAAGGGTGTTGATGTCAGTAGAGACATCAATGATGAAGGGGTGACAATGACTGTGGGTCAATAGTCATCTAATGAATGAATGAGCTGCCACAAGTAATGAAAGGGATGAAGATGATAATATAGTTGCAGACAATGATGAAGGAATTTTGATAGTGATGAAGGTGGTTTCTAGGGATGAAAGGTTTGAAAGTGATGGTAACAGTATTATGGTTGTTGGTTTGGGCATGAGTGGGTAAAAGAGAGTGGGTGTTAGGAATAAATGATTAGTCATAGATTTCAAGAGTGTAAGTTTGAGTGCAAAATGGGATAGTTGTGACTCTAAAGATCCATCTTGAATGTATAATTACTTCAATGGTCCATCATGATAATATTTTCATCGAAACGTTAGATAATCAACGAGAAAGAATGAAAGAATTATTAAAATAATTGAGGACATTAAGAAAGAAAAAAAATGGATGCTGGCGAGAAATGTGTACGTGATGATGGGGTAAGTAGAAATCATAAGGAATTTGAATGGCACTAAAATGTTGTTTAAGAAGAAAATGCAAATTTGAAGGCTCGTTTGTTGTCTGACAAAGAAGCAAATGGACTCGATATAGTAAATGAGACGAAACATGAATATGGATACTATCGGTCTCAAGGTAGGCATTTAATTATGCATTAAAAGATTTGGTTGTTAGAAAAAGTTGGGATTTGAAATATCCAATGAAAGAAAGACATGTGGTGACTGCTAAGGGTTGCAAATGATTTTGAGCTTTATCAAAATTTTATTAGATGTTTTATGTATTAAATATTGTTTGTTGTTACTTTATGTTGTCATGTTATTTTGTTAAAAAAAAATTTTAGGTTTATTAGTTGTAGCTTTTATATTGTGCAAGAAATTGTTGTTATGTTGTTTTATATCAAGTACTTGGGTACAGTGGCGGAACTAGAAATTTAAACAAGGGGAGCATGTTTCTTGCACAAAATAAATATTAACACTAAAAATTATACATTCTAATATAAAAAATATTAAACATTTTTCAAATAAAAATATACATTCGACACTACAAATTATAAATTCTAGTACAAGCAATATTAAACATTGTTCAAATAAAACGAAACATCCGACAATTGAAATCTTCGACTTGTTATAATATGAAAATATTGCGAAATAGCTTCATTTTCAAGTTTTGCAAAAATTACTTTTTCAATAAAGCATTGTAAACTATCTGTGAGAAACTCATCCCCCATTTTTTTTATGCAAATCATTTTTAATAATCTTCATCGCGGAGAAAGATATTTCAACAGTAATGGTTGCAACCGGAAAAACTAATGCCAATTCAACGAGTCGATATATAAACTTCAGAGCAGTGTGTTATTTTCTCTCAACCATTCTTTTTGAAAGATCACCAATATTTTGAAGACCGGAAAAAAAGCACACTCAGATTTTTTTGCTATCACAATATACTGCTAAAGTTCGTTGGTCAAAAAAACTTTATCAGAAAAATCCTCCGGATATAATTCAGCAAGACGCTGTAACTTATCAAGATCAAAGCTAGCAAATGAATCTTGAGGATCAAGGCATGCAATGCCACAAAAAAGTTCTGAACTTGGTTCCGCAAAACGATTATCAATTTCTTGTGCAATGAGATCAACAATCTTCCATGATAAATAGAAAAAAAAAATTATTTATATAATAAATAAGTAATCAAACGCGTGTAATTATATATCAATAAATATATATATTTACAAACAAGTACCTGAAATAAGATAACCTGTCGAAAAAAGTGAAAATAAGTCTTTGGTTGGTCATTGACTTTTCTTTCAAATCTAGCTTGACCAGGCAAATGATCTTCCAAATTTGGCACAAAAATGTTTATTTCAAAGCAAATTTTTTTATTGTTTCAAAAAATTCATCCCAACTATCTTCTCTATGCAACTTCAAATCATTTTTCAATGTTGTAATCAAAGCCATGACAATACCAATGTTCTATTTT